GGCTGACTGGCTGGCTGGCTGGCTGGCTGACAGGCAAGCTGGCTGGCTAACTGGCTAGCTGGCTGGCTGGCTGGCTAGCTGCCTGGCTGGCTGGCTAGCTGGCTGGCTGGCAGGCTGGCTGGCTGATTGAACGAGGTAGTGACTAATTCAATGACTGACTTGCTGGCTGTTAGGCTGGCTGACTGACCGACTGACTGACTGATTCGGGATGAATGGCTGGGTGAATGACTAAATAGCTGATTGACTGACATATTGACGGGCTGACTGATGGACTGACTGACGGACTAGCTGACGATCTGACGAAGTGATGGATTGACGGTCCGACGTACTGACTGACTGACTAACTGTCTGGCGGTTTCACTAACTTTTAGTTGGTCACTGACTGTCCCGTTTCGACTGAGTAGCTGGCGTAGTAACTGTTTGATTGTTTTACTTAATGACTGACTTCTCAACGTAATTGGTTGATTGGCCGTCAACCTGAATGCCTGATACTCAAAATGACTGACTTCTGGTCGAGCAAACCAACTAACTGACTTATCACTATCCGACTCATCGATGGTTCTATACTTAATAATATACATGATAACATTACGCGCGTCTCATCGGCTGAAAACGAATGCAAAGACGTAACACGAGTGCAAATTACGAATAGCGCGCACGAACTGTCAATGTTTTGTTCAGACTACTAAATAACTTCAACTTTCGACAACGGTTTAAATCACTTCTTTTAATCCAACGAAAAGACTGCTAACTTCAAGCGAAAAGCACATGTTCCTATATCCCATAATACTAACGCAACAAAAATGTCCTTAGTAGGGTGGTCCCATCGCAAGTCCAGTCTCACTGGGGGTGGCGTGATATCCTCCCAGTGCGGGTCCGGACCCGAACAGTTCAAATCTCGTCTCTCTTGACTTTCTATGATGCTTTTTTCATGTAAACTATTGATAAGTAATAAAAATTTTTCTTGTGTAATTTAGTGTTAAAAAGCACTCGTAAACGTTTCAAAGAC